ATGTCTCTGATGACGAATCCGTGACGGATCTCGACACGTCAGGCGAATAAAAGTATTGTCCAAACGGTCAAGTCATTTTCTTCTCAATCACTTGCTTCTATTGAAATTTTCACTTGCATTGACAATAATGGCTTTATGCCTTGCACTCATCCCCCTCATTCTTTTTAACAGTCAGCCTTTTGTATATTTTAGCGCATCGATATAGCCGTGGGTCACATCGCCATCACAGCCGACAGAGCTCGAGAAGTCTGCTTCCTGGAGAACATTCTCAGCGCAGAATTGGGCGTCTTCGTGCGCAAGTTGAGTGTAGGCAGCCCCTTTCACTTCCTCTGGCCTTTTGAGCGTTTCACCTGGCTCCTCATCGGTATTTCCCTCCTCGTGGCACCAATATGCGTTTGCCTGTTGAATCGTCTGAGCCCCTTCAGTGCCGGCAATCTAGACCTGCCTGGGGCGTCCGCGGATGAGGTGGACTTCGTGGAGAACACCTGGAACCTCTTTGGTACACTGGCACTCCAGGGTAAGTCAGGTGGGCAGATAACGGTAAACGAAAGTGTCACATAGAAAAGTGCACTTTTCGGTCATGCTCGTTGACACAAAAAGGCGAATAAGCAGATATCCAGAGCTTCAGGGTTAACGCTGAGCTGAAAGTATTTACTTCAACAAAACCCACACACGTTCGAGCAGAAACTAATTCCTGTGGTGGCGTAATTGATGCTTATGTTTTTATCGGGAATGCGTCCATTCTCACGATGAGTCAACATCCACAAAGGCAGTCGTCAGCTACGCCAATGTCTGGCTAGCAATGTATCCTCAATGCAGGCTGGCCCATATCCGATTAGAGGGTGTCTCGACGTGTGTCTCTCCCTCTGACAACGACTTACTCTAACTTGCTTTGTTTGAAAACAGGCTGTTCGTGGTCGTTCCTGTTCTCTTGATTCTCTCGTACTGGGCTCGGGTACAGCGGTCGGGCTAGCTTACCGTTATGTGCTAATTGCCAGTTCCAGGCGCGGGCCATAGCAGTTTTCCGACTATATAGAATTGTCGTCAGCCCATGAGCCCGCAGGTGCGGTGTTTACTTTCTTCACATAATTTCTGCGCAGATGTAGCGACTGCGGACGTCGGGGGTAGGACAGATTATCTATAATAATTTTCCGCTTATCCACAGGAGCGGAGAATCTTGAAATGCGCTCTCTTCCATGGTCAATTTTTGCGTGTGTTACAGGGCGACTTTATGCCACGGTTAGTTCTGAGTGCCCCACCGGACTTTATTCGGAAACATTCCGCAGGCAGAACAGCGGAGATTTTGGTATATAACGCCACTAACTTATTGGTCAAAAACCTACCTCCATTGTTTATTTGGGTAGGTGTAGTAAACTAGAAGTTGCCTGACATGAGGTCGCGAAAGGTGTTCTGCGATGAAATAACTTTGACCCTGACTAGTGCTATTGAGGTTCAAGTTGCCCGGATCGGTAGAGGTTAGGGCTGTGATTATTCTTAGCTTGAGTGTTAGGAGTTTGGTTGTTCTTAAAACTGGGGTTGCGTGGCCTGGGACATTAATTCGCTTCAGAAATGAGACTAGGTTTCGATATAATTGCGGGTACATTTGAGTATTACTCAAATGCTTACGGGTATAGAGCTTTCTTAGTTTGTTTATTCGGTGAGGGTAATAGGCCGTACCTTTGAAAACCATACTGATTACATGCCCGTGCGTCATATACATATTTACACGCACGCGTAAAAAACATTGCTAAAATAGTATTTACAAACAGTGATTAGCGTTGATTTTACAAATTACGCTTGTCTGCATTTTGTGTGGTGTCAGTTCGAGTTCATACTGTCAATGGAAAACTGGGGACACATGTAATTATCCAAGTGTTGTTTGAATAGCTGTAAGAACGTGGCCTCCAAGACTGCTTGCGGCGGATTATTCCGCTGTTGAATGGCCC